ATACAAATTATGTTGTACAGAAAAATGTCTTCTCCCTCATCTGAGTTTGTGGAATGAGATGGCTACATTTGTTTTATTTTTACATATATTTTAAGTGTTGGGGAAAGGGTTACTTTTGTTCCTGTATGCTTGTAACTGCTTTCTGCTTTTCATCACATAATAGAAATAGTAAGCGGCAACACCTGAACATACCTCACACGTATGAGCCCAATACTCCCCATCACCTTATAAGGGAAGTAACTTGCCCAGGGTTGCAAAGCTTTAAGTAAGCGCCAGAGCTGGTACAGGAACCCTGATGTAAATTAGCCCCAGCGCCTACACTCTTACCACCTGTGTTCAACTGCCTCTCCTGAACAAAGCTAAATTGAAATTGAACTGCAAGTTTTATGTTAAAACAACAATGATCCTCTGCCCCAGCATGGAGAGCCTGCCCTTGAACCTAGTCTCCCACAGCAGAGACCTTGCGTTCGTGACTAGGTTAGGCACCTCCCATCCTCTGACCTCGCCTCAGAGAAGATACTGCCAGGACACAGGCATTTTAATTTTCTGCTTCTACCTACACCAGCCAATCCCAGCATCAGTTCTAACCCTTGGATCAAATGAAACACATTTCCTTTAAGTTCCCTCAGGATTCTGGGCTCCCTTGCTGACCAGAGGTCTTCTCTAATCTCCACGCAACTCCGATTCCACACACTTAGGTGTTTCTAGTCACTGCATTCAAGAGTGGCTTGTCTTGTGAATCCTTCCACATTTCATCTTATCCCAGGGAAAGAACAAGAGCTCAAGGAAGACTTCAAAATGTCTTGAGTGTGAAAACGAGCCTTCGCCCCATTCCTCCACCATTCTGGGAGACTGCCAGGTCCGCCCTGAGCAGTTCTTTCTATAGCAGTTCTTTCCACCACAGCCCCCATGTCACCCAAGCACAGACACTGCTGTCAGCGTCTAACCCTAGGGTCAGTGTTGCTTGGACATCAAAGGACTGACTGACTTATTAGCTGATGAGTTCTCAGAATCCTAGGGGAAGAAAAGAAGAAGGAAAAAACCAACCTCTTCATTTTGTATAATTTAGGAGATAACACCAATAACTCACTTTCCAGAAGACTCTATGGGCTTAAAGAAGAAAGCCTTACTGAGAATTACTGAAGAGACAATGTTCAGTGTTCAGCCAACAGGCAACATCCAGCAGTGCCAGCTCCTGAGGATCTTGGTTTGGTGTCATGAACAGCCCTGGGTTAAGGTCTGTCCTGTGCACAGGCCTCTACATCTTCTGTCCTCAGTGCTGGTCCTGGCCTGGTCTGGGTCGGCCTGACCAGTTGCAGGTGCTGCCCGTGAGGAGGCAGTGCAGGAAAGATGATAAACATTTCTAGCTTTTCGAGTTGAAATTACAATGAAATTAAGTTTTATTAATAAAAAAAATGGGAGCTCTGGTAGCATAGTGGCTAAAGCACTTGACTGCTAACCAGAAGGCTGGCGGTTCAAACCCACCAGCCACTCCTCGGAAGGAAGGTTGGGCAATCTACTTCCATAGTGATACTGCCTCAGAAACCCAAGGAGGGGTCGCTATGAGTCGGGTCCGACTCAACGGCACATAACAACAACAACAACAATAAAAAAATGTATTTTTAAAAAGCAAGTGTAAAGGCAAGACAGACTGGGAAAGGAGATGTGCAATATAAATCTCTGACAAAGGACACAGAGCTGGAATATATAAAGAGCTCTGACAAATCAATAATAAAAAGACAATCCAATTTTAATAAAAGCAATGGTCTTCAACGGGCACTTTACCAATAGGATATCCAAAGAGCTGGATAAGCATCTGAGAAAGTGCTTGCCATGAGGGAAATGAAAATAAAAACCACAGTGACATGCCACAATATACTACAAAGGGGGGGGGGAAGTCTTGTCAGACAAGTGATTTGCAAATATCTTCTCCCTATCTGCAGCTTTTCTTTTCATTCTCCTAACTCTGTTTCTTGAAGCAGAAGTTTTACACTTTGAGTAAGTCCAATTTATGGTTGTTATTTTTTCTTTAATGGATTGAACTTTTGGTGTTTTATCTTAGAACTCCTTGAATCACAAAGATTTTCTATCTTTTCTTATAAAAGTTTTATAGTTTTATGGCCTATGAATTAATTTGAAAGAAATTTTTAATTAAGTGTGGGTTGAAGTATGGGTTGAGTTCCATTTGTTTTAACCTGTAGATAGCCAACTGTTCCAGCATCATTTGTTGAAAAGAATATCCTTTCTCCATCAGATTACATTACCACTATTTGTTTTCAAACAATTGATTTTGACAAAGGTGAAAAAAACATCAAAATAATTGTTATTTAATTATTTTTTACATGTGCAATTCAGTGACATTAATGACACTCATCATGCTTTGATGTTTTGATATTTTTTCTACCACAACAGAGAGGAAAGCTATCATGCTAAAAAAAAGAAAAAGATTTGGCAAATGTTACGTGGTGTATATTTTCACAATAATAATAATAATAATAAATCAGTTGATAAAAAAATATGGGCAGTTCACCAAAGAGGATATTCAAATAGTTAACAAGCACATGAAAGATGTTCAACATCTTTAGCCGTTGTTGTTGTGAGGCGTTGAGTCCTTTGTGACTCATAGCCACCCTACAGAACAGAACAGAACTGCCTCATAGGGTTTCCTGGGCTGTAACCTTTACGGGGACAGATCACCACGTCTTTCTCTCCTGGAGCTTTCGGTCAGTGCCAACCTTCCCACTTAGCAGCCGAGTACATAACCGCTGCGCCACCAGGGCGCCTTCATTAGCCCATTAACCCCAAACCAAATCCACTGCTGTAAAGTCAATTCTGACTCACGGCGACCCTATAGGACAGAACAGAATTGGCCCATAGGGTTTCTAAGGCTATAAATCTACATATAGAAGGAGACTGCACATCTTTCTCCCATGGCATGGCTGATGAGTTTGAATTGCTGAACTTTTGATTAGGAGCTGAGTGCTTTAACCACTGTGCAACCAGAGCTCCTCTCATTAGCTATTCAAACCAATATCAAACTCACTGCCATTGAGTCAATTCTGACTCACAGAGACCCCACTGATTTTCCAAGGCTGTAAATCTTAATGGAAGCAGATTGCATCATCTTTCTTCCATGGAGCAGCTCGTGGGTTTGAACCACCGTCCTTTTGGTTAGAAACCAAATGCCTTAACCACTATACCACTAGAGCTCCTCATCAGTCATTAAGAAACCCAAACCAACCCATTGCCATCGACTTGATTCTGACTCATAGTGGTCCATAAGTTTTCCAAGCCTGTATGTCTTTACAAAAGTAGACTGTCTCATCTTCCTCCCATGGAGCAGCTGGTGGGTTTGAACCACCGACTTTCTGGTTAGCAGCCAAATGCCTAACCCACTGAGCCACCAGAGCAACTGCATCAGCCATTAGGGAGACACAAACCCAAACCACAAGGAGATGCCAGAGATAGAAGAGTGATGATCAAAGGAATGGAAAACAAGAGGTGCTGAGGAGGATGTGGAGAGACTGGAACCGTCATCCGCTGCTGGTGGGAAAGCTGCTCTTGAACAGCTTGGTGGTTCTTCAAGGAACATGGAACCACCGTATAACTCAGAAATCCCAATCCTCGGTGTGCCCGAAAGAAGTCAAGCGGGAACTGACACAGACACCTATACATCAATATTAGGTTCAGCACTTTTCACAACAGCCAAAAAGTGGAAGCAATCCAAGTGTCCATCCACAAATGAATAAATGAAATGTGGTACCTACACACAATGGTAGCATAGTGCCTAAGGCACTTAACTGCTAACCAGAAGGCTGGCGGTTCAAACCCATCAGCACATAACAACAAAAACAGCACTCAATGGAGCATTACTCAGCCCCGAGAGAATGAGGTCCTGACGTGCCCACAGCAAGGATGAGCCTGGAAAACATCATGTTGTGTGAAGTCACAGATACTGCATGACCACATTGTATGAAATAAGCATGACATAGAAACCAAAGCTTGAGAGTGGTTACCCGCATGGGAAGGAGGGAGACAAAAGACTCTTTGCTTGAGTGGCACACATTGACATGAGTGGAATAACATGGAATAATGAGGAAAAATATGGGGTAAAGGCTGCACCACCACAAGAGTGTAATCAGTGTCACTGACTTATGTGTGGGAACCTGAATTAGCAAATGTTTCGTTGTATTTGTACTGCTATTAAAAAAAAAAAAAAAAAAAACAAGTATCAAAATAAACTGAACTTTCATCCAGAACTTCACAAAACGCTGATTTTTAAATGTTTACTTATCACTCTGCTCTATTTCTTCCAGGATGCTTTAGCTACTGAAGGTCCCTTGACCTTCTGTATACATCAGAGGACTGGCTTTTCCATTTCTGCCAAGAAGCCTGTTGGCATTTTGACATAAATTGTGTTGAATTTATAGATTACTTCGGGTAGTACTGACATGTAAAAAAAAAAAAGACAACTTTTTGTACAGCAAAAAGGCATTTTGTGTTAATTGGCAAAATATTTTAAAATGTTTATTTATCATTAACCCATCCACTACACTTCTCACATATGTATTACAATGTGTAAAACAAGTAGTAAATGTTCATAGAATCTATACATTTTTTAAACTGGCAACGTGCCTAAGGCACTTGACTGCTAACCAGAAGGCTGGCGGTTCAAACCCACCAGCCACTCCTCGGAACAAGGTTGGGCAATCTACTTCCGTAGTGACACTGCCTCAGAAACCCAAGGAAGGGTCGCTATGAGTCGGGTCCGACTTGACAGCACATAACAACGTTCCTCAAACTTTTGGAGTCCTATGCTGAGTCCTATGCTGAGTCCTATGGTTCCCTGGTTCTGTTCCAGTTACAGTCACTGACCACTGAGCAACCTCAACCTTGTGGCATAAACTGCCACCATTTTATTATGGATCTGGGACTTGGAAAGGGCACGGGGAAGATCTGCCTCCCCCTCCTGATGCTGGAACACCCACACGTGTGACCTCTCATGCGGCTGCCTGGGCTTTCTCGCAGCAAGATGACTGGGCTCCAAGAGGGAGGATCTCAAGAGGCAGGAAGCGGCAGCCTGAACACGGGTGCGTCATCACTTTCACCACATTCTACTGCAGAAACAACACACAGCCCGGACCCAAGGGCAGAGGGCTGAGCCCCAAGCTCGCCACGCAAACTCCCACAGGCTCTGAGGCTGGAGCCGGATCCACCACGGGCTGTCGGGCTTCACCTGGGCACCCACATTTACAAGTTTCCCTTTTGATCTTGTGACTTACCCTTAGCTTGCTTGGTATTTCAACAACTTGGAATCCTTCCCTCCTGGATCCTTACTGACCTCCACACTTTACTCCTAAATTTCTCTACTCCGTTCTCAGATCCCATGAAAAAGGCTTTTCCCCCTGGCGCTGTCAACTTGAACACAGTTCTCTGATGGGGCTGGCACCTCCCAGGGCACTGATGGCTGAGTTTCCCAGAAGGGGACTCACAAACCCAGCTTCTCCTAGCTTTCATCTGGGGGCAGGGAAGGAAGAGGAAGAAGGGTGGAGGGACGAGGAGAGGAAAGGGAGGAAGGAGAAGGGAGAAGTGGTTCGGGACGACCACAGTCGGTTAACGTGACACGGCTATGAGATGACTACAGAAGGTGCCGGTCCCTTCTGCACAGACCTTCGTTGGATGGCTGTGTTCAGCCTGTGAGACCACAGCGAGGAACTGTAATTATGCAGATCACCAAGACAAGAAAGAAGGGAAATCGTACCTAAAAGCGGAAGCCGAGAGATTACTTAAACTGCAGAAGACTCAGTGACAGTAGAAAATGACAAGTGTTTTCATTCAGGTAAATGCCTGTCAAAGGGAACAGAGGGACACTGTGCTGCCTCAAGAAGCACAAGAACAAACCAGTCAGTTTCAAGGAGCCAGATTTGTGGGAGTCTAAGTGTGAGATGACGGTGGCTTGGAATAGAATGGTGGCAACTACAGGAGACAGATCAGAGACACGCTTCAGAGGACAACTGGAGAGGATCTGGTGAAGAATTAGATGGAGGAAGCAAAGGTTAAGGGGAAGTATGTGGCAAGTACTTGGGTTTTAGGCTGGACATTCAGGGTAACTTCTAAGTTTCCTCCCAACTCAGAGATATTGCAGTCCTATGAATTTCAAATTATGACAGGTGTCTTTGAGACTAGAGAATGAAATTACCCCTGGAAAGAACCCCTGATGCATGGACTGGCCTGGCCTACGTGCAGGTGGAATAACTGATTCACAAGGTACCCCCCCTCACCCTCCAGCCTGTCAGAATGCTACGTCTCCTCGTGTGGGCCTTAGCTGTCACCAGCAGATGAACTCCTCAAAAGCAGCCAATCTCTCCTAACTCCCTTGCCTCACGCCTCACCCAGCCACCCAGTCACTTAGTAATGCATCCTTGAGAGCTTGTACACAAAGCATTGGGTGGGGTGTTTTTGTGGGGGAGGTATGTGTGTCTATATACTGGGCCGGCAGTGTAAGGATGCCACCAAAGAACTTGACCTCTATCAGCTTAACAATTTCAAACCAGCCGATCCAAACACTTTATTGAGATAATCATTAGGGCACAAAAGAGGCCGGGAAAGATGTTCCAAAAATACAGGAGAACTATGGTCTTTGTACTGAACACAGAGGCAGTGCACCTCTCCAAATACTGAGGTGAAGCCTCCCCACCACAATACTCCAAACACAGCAGGAAACGGGTACTCTGCTCACATGCTGGGGTTTCTCTCTTTCAACACAAAGCCATCAGAGAGAAACGTCGGGTTAGAAGGGCAACCCCCAGACCTCTCCCTCTCTCAGGCCAGGGGGCTGGGGCTTGGAAGGACTAGTTCATTTTGCTCCTTTCTCCTGTTTGCCTTTTCCAAGTGGTTGTGTCACTGAGGTGGGAAGTGGAGATGGGGACGGGGAGACACTCTTGTCAGAAGTCCTGTAATGAGAAAGATGGAAGGAAAACACAAGACATAACCAACAGACCAAGGGGAGACAGGCAGACAAAGACAACAGGGTCCTCCAGACGGTAATTCAACTCCTTGCTCCCCCAAACCACAGCCTTTCTACCTATCTGATAAGGTACCCAGGTTACCTGCCAGCATGTCCCTAGCACACAATCCACTTAGCCTGCCTTCCAGTCTCTTTGGGACACTTGCCTCAATGTTCACCTCTGTAGAATCCAAGAGGTCCAGCCACTGCTCACCAGGGGAAGAAAAGCTACTTGGTTGCTAGAGAAAATGGGGCCAGAAGTCAGAAAGGCCTTTCCCCACTCCCATCACACACCAAACAACAACCAAGTTGCATTTCCAGTCTCGTAATAACACATGGGAGGGGGCCACGTAGGTACCCATAGCAGAGAGACAGATGCACGAGGGACGGACTGCGCCAGGCTATCAGGAGTCACCAGCGAAGTGCCCCCTCTGCCCCGCCCAAGCCCCTTAGATGAGTTCTGTGTGGTACTAGTGAATGAATTTCTACTGAGGGAACTTTAGGAACGAATATTTTAAAACAAGCCTTGCTCCCTGAACTCTGGCTTGAAGACGCCACGCTTTTTCTTCTGAGCACAAGACCTCCACTGCCCTGCCCCATTCCGTCCTTCCTCCCTCCAGTGCGGAGAAAGGAGCAGAGGAGGCACGGCAGCCACTAAGGCTAACGCAGCCCTTCCCAGTGTGTGAGGTGCTTTCACTCGTGCTGTTTTGTATAAAAGCTCCACTGTATGTATGACGAGTGGTTAAGAAGAGTTAAGTAGTTAACTCGACAAAGTTACCCGTTGGTAGAACTGAGTTGAACTCAGGTCATCTAACTCCAAAGTCTATGCTTTCCACTATACTGGTAGCATTTCCTCCTGGGGAAGCAGTTAGGCTACAAAAAGCAGTAACATGGAAGTGGGGCAGCCCTCTAAAGTAGAGAGGCGGGAAGGGCAGTAGGGGAGCATGTGTGTGTGTGAGTGTATATTGGTGTGCATGCGTGTGTGTATGTGTGTGTATTTGTGTGGTGGTGAGACTTATTGCATGGGCTGAAAGGTTGGATTAGATGACTTTCTGTCTCGAGCTCTAGGGTTCTTCCCAATTCTTAGGACAATCTTAGGAGTTCAGGAGTAACAATACTTATTTAAGGATTAGGGTGCTATTCCAGTTCTTTTGGTATTCTGTTATTTCTTAAACCAAAGTAAACAGCAAAGCCCAAAGCAATCTACTGATTCCTCTCCTCCACTCTGATTCTTTCAAAAAGCCTGAAGCAGCTTTTGGAGACAAGGGCCCCATGGGGCCTGCCGGGAGCCAAGCAATCTAGCTTCCCTCTTTCTCTTCTCTGTCCCTCCTTGCAGAGCAAGAAGGGAATGCTGGTCCTCTTACCTTGTCGGTGTCTAGCCACTCTTCACTGGAGTCATCCTGAATCACCAGCCCTTCCTCTTCCTCTTCTTCCTCCTCCTCCTCCATTAGTCTGAGTCTGATGGTGGTAGCAGAGTGAGCTTTCCAAACGGTTCTCTCAGGGCTCCTGAGAGTCTCAGAGGTACCTCAGGGGAGCAGGGTGGGCAGCAGGCAGAGCCAGGCTCTAGGCCCCACTCCTCCTGCAGTCAGAGCACATCTACTCATATCCACTATCCCAACCAGGGTCGCACAGGGACAAAGGGTTCTGACTCAAGTCAGTCCAAAGAACCACAGGATAAGGGGAGAACCCTCTCACGGTGGGAGACCTGAAGTGAAGTGAGAAGATGGCAGGAAAGCTCACCGGGTCATTCGATTGCCCAGTCCAGGACCTGAAGAGTGGAGTGGAGTGTGGAAACGCTGTGGACCTGAGTAACTGGGCCACTGGGTGTCTGAAAGAGGCTGGCTGTTGGGAATGAAGTAGGATCAGTGACAGAAGATGAGAGTAAAGGGTACAAAGGGGGGGCAAAGTGGACGGTGCTGAAGTGGAGAGAAGCTCAGAGTAGGGTGAAAAAGAATTTATAAAAAATTAAAAAAAAAAAAAAGGAAAGGATTAAAAAAGAATCAGAGAATGGGAGAGGCTGCAGCAGGGAGCAGACTAAAAGCTGGAAGCTGGAGACTGCAAGCTACTGACCTGGGAAGCCAGAGACCAGCTGCTCGCAGGGCCCTCACCTGTGGGTGAGCTCAGATGCTGAGCCCTCTTCTTCTTCTACCTCTTCTAACCCCCCCAGGGGCTGCCGACTCTTCACAGCGGTGGAGGTGAGGGTGGGGGTGGGTGGGATGCTGTTCAGCTGTAGGCTTTCTTCGTGGGAGGAAGAGGCATCTCCTTTCGGCATCGAGGGGCCTGCAAAGAAGATGTACATATTAACTGTGGACAAGACGCTTCGACTTTTTTAAGAGCTGCCCAATATTTGGTGAGAGACCAGTCCACAGAGACCAGGTTCTGCATCCTGCTTCAGTGAGTAGCAGCTGGAGTCCTAAAAGCGTGTGAGTAGCCATCTAAGGTGCAATGACTGGTCTCTCCCTGTCTGGAACAAGGAAGGCTGAAGAAAATCAAAGATGCAGGAAACAACCTGAAGGACTAGTGGAACACATGAACCCCAGCCTCCATGATGCAGAGACTAGAAGGACTAAATGGTGACCAGCCACCACTGCTGATCTCTCTGAAAGGGATCACAGTAAGAGGTCCAGTATAGAGTGGAGGGAAATGTGGAACCAAACTCAAAATCAGAAAAAAGATCAGGCTTACTGGTCTGATGAAGACTGGTGGAACCTCAGAGACCATGGCCCTTAGACATCCTTCAAGCTAGGAAGTGAACAGCCAAACAACAGAAAAACATGGAAGGTGAACAGTAGTTATCAGGAGGGTATGCACTTATCACAATAACCAAGCAGACAGCATCTGCCTGGGAATAGAGCCAGGAAGGTGGGAGAGGATGAGAAGGATGGATGAAGGGATGGGGTAGACATAGGGAAGAAGTGGAGATGATGCTATTCCAGAGTGCATTGCAGTAAACATCACAGAACAGAATGTGTAGGGATTGTTGAATGGAAAACCAAATTGCCTGTAAATTTCCACCCAAATCACAATTTAAAAAAAAAAAAGAAAGAAAATGGTACATGTATTTAAAAAAAAAAAAAAAAGGATGTGTTAGAGGAAAATGGAGAATCTGTATGACTTAATTCTACTATGACTCAAAAGTGAGAGGAAGCTGATACATAGCTCTTTGTGCTAAAAAGAAAGGCTTACAGAGGCCTCTCTAGGCCTTGACCAAGAAAAACTTACAATACAGCTTAGAAAACAAGAGAGAAGAGAAAACGTACACTGCACACATAAACATCTCAGCACAAATGGAGCCTGGATTCCCTACGACTGAAAGGTCGGAACAGAAATTGGTCTGCGTTAATCAACAAAAACACATAGGATCCTATTCACTGAAGAGATCCCTGGTGAGAAAAAGCATAAAATTTCAATATAGCTTTGTGACCACAAGTTAGGCTGGAAGGATGAGGGGCAGGGAGGGACAGGAAAATGAAGGGATTTTCTGAAGGCCAGACAAGTTTTGATATGAAGGTTGAGTGAGGCAATGGGGATCGAGATGTTTAAGGGCCACTCTCCTCCAGAGCGCAGAGCCCTGGTGGCGCTGTGGTTAAGTACTTGGTAACGCTGGTAGTTTGAATCCACCAGCTGCTCCGTAGGAGAAAGATGGGGCAGTCTGCTTCTGTACTCAAAACTCACCACTGTAGAGTCGGCTCTAACTCATAGCGACCCCTCCTTGGGTTTCCGAAGCAGTATCACTACGGAACTAGATTGCCCAATCTTGCTTCCAAGGAGTGGCTAGTGGGTTTAACTGCCAACCTTCTAGTTAGCAGTCAAATGCCTTAGGCACTACACCACCAGAGCTCCTGTAAGGATTACCAAATCCAGTGCCATCAAGATTCCAACTCGTAGCAACCCCCAGTGGGTTTCTAAGATGGTAAAATACAGCCTTGAAAACCCTATGTTGTGTTGTTATGTGCTGTCGAGTCGGACCTGACTCATAGCGACCCCTCCTTGGGTTGCTGAGGCAGTATCACTACGGAAGTAGATCGCCCAAACTTCCTTCCGAGGAGTGGCTGGTAGGTTTGAACCACCAGCCTTGTGGTTAGCAGTCAAGTGCCTTAGGCACTATGCTACCAGAGCTCCCAGGGAAGTCCTACTCTGTCCTATGGAATTGCTGTGTGTGGGAACAAACTTGATGGTAACAGGTGTGGTTCTGTGGTCTCCTCCAGAGATCCAAGAAGTGGCAGAGAACAAAGAATCCAAAGACGCCTGAGAAAATCCATGGAAAACAATTTTAAAATGTAAGTTAAACTGATGATGTTAGTATTTGTGAACTATAAATATTCATACTCTATTACCCTCCCCTCTCCATAGTCATTGTGTAAACTAAAAACTACACAAGATGAACGTGAGTTGCTACTGATTTAAGCAGAGGGTTACATGGAAGAGCCATGCCTGTGAGCTAACATACTGAGAGGAAACCTGGGTTCCCAGCAGATGGCAGCACGAACCTTAGGGAACCCAGGGCTCTGGGTTGAGACGAGTGGAAAAGTGTTCGACTTCTGCTTCACCACCACTTTACCTCTCCCCTCTATGTGAGCAAGGAGCTCTGGTGGCGCAGTGGTTAAAGTACTCGGCTGTGAACTAAGTGTGGCAGTTTGAACCCACCAGCTGTTCCGTGGGAGAAAGATGAGGCAGTCTGCTTCCATGAAGGCTTACATACAGCCTTGGAAACCCTACGGGGTTCTCTGTCCTGTAAGGTTGCTATGAGTTGCAATCGACTTTATGACAGTGGGTCCATGTGAGTGACTCCCACAAGGGCGGCCACAGCCAGGCTGCATTTCAGAGCTCCAGAACCCCATCTCTAGTCAACTGCTTGACATTTCCACTTGGATATATTTCTGTTACCTTGAATTCATTAGTCAAAAATTGAGCTTCTCTTTCCAAAACTGGCTTCCCTTCCTGACTTCCTATCTTCACCCCTTGTTTAAGGAGCTCTGGTGGCATAGTGCCTAAGGTATTTGACTGCTAACCAGAAGGCTGATGGTTCAAACCTACCAGCCACTCCTCGGAAGGAAGACTGGGCAATCTACTTCCAATAGAGAGATGGCCTTGGAAACCCAAGGAGGGGTTTGCCTCGACAGCAGTGAGTCTGGTTTTTTGGAGTTTGGTGGCACAGAGGGTAAGGCATTTGGCTGTTAACCACAAGGCCAGTGACTCAAACCCACCAGAACCTTTGCAGGAGTATGAGACAATCTGCTTCTGTAAAGATTTACAGCCTTGGAAACCCCATGAGGGTTGCTATGAGTTAGGAATGACGATGGCAGTGGGTTTGGTTTTGTTTTATCCTTTATTTAGTCTTTCAGGCTCAGTAGCAGTCTTTTCTTCCCACTGTACCTGAGTTTTATTAAAACAAAACAAAACAAAACAAAAACTCACTGCCATTGAGTCGTTTCCAACTCATAGTGACCCTCTCCTTGGGTTTCCAAGGTGGTATCTCTACGGAAGTAGATTGCCCAATCTTCCTTCCAAGGAGTGGCTGGCAGGTTTGAACCACCAGCCTTCTGGTTAGTAGTCAGATGCCTTAGGCACTACACCACCAGAGCTCCCTGACTTTCATTAGTCACCTTATTAATTCTCACAAGGCCAGACTAAAGCAGCCCTTCCCAGCCATGCTGGGTGAGGCACTGTTACACATTAACGCATGTACAAACTACTATGACGGCTTCTACTTTTTTCAGAAAATAATACTTTATTGTGTTTTCAGCAAATGTTGACACAGCGGTTTAGGTTCTCATCCAACAATTTCTACACGTGCTGTTCAGTGACACTGGTTATGTTCCTCACAACGCAGCACGAGCATTCTCCTTATTGCCGCTTCCATTAACCTAGTTTCCCAGACCCCTACGTTCTCATCTTTGTTTTAATGTAACTGTGGACCGCCTGGCCTCATGTGGGTGATTTTTTTAAAGGAGCACAGTACTTACGGGTGACAGTCATTATTTTTTGAGTCAATCTGTTATTTAGCTACAAGGTGACCTCAGGAGTTAGTTTCAGTTCAAGATTTAAAGAGGTTTTAGTCATGGGGAGTCCTCTAGTCTCAACCAGCCCAGTAGGTCTGAGTTTTGTTTGTTCTGCTCCACGTTTTTCTCCCCTTCTCTCAGGGTCCTTCTATGGTGGCCCTGATCAGAAACATATAATGGCTTCTGAACTAACAGCTCTACCTTCTATTTCTTCTCGATTCTGCATACCGCCACCAGATTAATCTGAAAATACTTTTTTCAATGTAACACTCTCCTGCTCAAAAGCCAACAGTGGTAAACCATCCTGTGTAGAGTATGGTTCAAATGCCTTTTGTTTAAATGGTCTCCACACTTTGGCTCCAACAGGAACTGTGCTTGCCCTGATCGCCAAGAACTCCTACAACGTCCAATTCTTCCCACTCACCACCCACTGCCACCGAGTTGATTCAGACTCACAGCCACCCTACAGGGCAAAGCAGAACCGCTCCATCGGGTTTCCAAGAAGCAGACTGCCTCATCTTTCTCAATAAATATCTGTTGCTTGAACAACTGAATCAACCTTTTCAGTTTTATCTGAACTTTCCTTAACTTCCACCTTCTTGGTAAAATTTTCATGGATCAACCTAACTTATAGTGCCACCTTCATTCTCCGAAGTCTATAGAATTCACCTGTACAAACCCCTTGACAGTCATCATTTACTGGTGAGTGGTAAGAACTCAAATGTTCTATAAATGTATTTCCTCTTTCCTGTTAGATAGTAAGCTGCTTGAGGACCCTCAAGGCCTCTACAACACAGCATTGAGTAGCTCCTTAACAAAGATTTATGGGGAGCTTTGGTGGCACAGTGGTTAAGCCATTTGGCTGCTAACCAAAAGGTCAGCAGTTCATACCCACCAGCTGCTCCACAGGAGAAAGGGAAGGCACCCTGCTTCCAGAAAGATTTTACAGCCTTGCCTGGTGAGACCCCTGAGACTGAAGCCCCTAGTTACAGCAACTGAACTCACTCCTTTCAACTAAACAACAGGCATACAGGGTGAACATTTATGTCAGGTAGATATACTTCTTGGAGTGATCTACCATGGGAGAACAGAGAAAGGCAGTAGATAGCTGAAGAGGTGGGAGGGAAGGGCACAGGGAAGAGGCAACTACAGAGAGAAAGTGGGAAAAGAGCTGTTACATTGTAAGGAATTGCAGTTAATGTAAAAAAAAAAAATTATTTTTAATTTTTAAAAAAAGGATTTACAGCCTGTCCTATAGGGTTGCTGTGAGTCAGAATTGACTTGATGGTAGTGGGTTTTTTTTTTTTTTTTTTAACAAAAATTGATTAGTTGGCTGATTAAAGCAGAGTGCCCTGGTGGTAGGAGACATGACTTTAGGTGACACACAGAAGACATTTAGAAAGAAGTCACACTCTACCTCACAGCAAATACAAAAATTAGTTCAAAATGGATCACAGACCAAACGTAGGGGCAAAACTCTAAAACTGGAAGAAAAGATAGGAGTAAATCTTGATGACTTTGGACTAGGCCATGGTTTCTTAAGATATGACACCAAAAGATCAAAGAATAAGACAACATAAACTGGATTTTATCAAAAGTCAAACTTTTGTTTTTCAAACACAATCAAGAAAGTGAAAAGATAACCCACAGGATGGAAGGTAACATTTGCAAATCATGTATCTGTTAAGGGTCTTGAATCTAGAATATATAAGGAACTCCGACAACTCAACAATAAAAAAGACAAATCACCTAGTTTAAAAAGAAGCAAAGGATTTGAGTAGGAATTTCTCCACGAAGATACACAAATGGGCCACAGGCACAGGAAAAGATATCCCACATTATTAGCCATTGTTGTTGTTGTTATGTGCCGTCGAGTCGGACCCAACTCATAGTGACCCCTCCTTGGGTTTCCGAGGCACTATCACTACAGAAGTAGATTGCCCCATCTTCCTTCCGAGGAGTGGCTGGTGGATTTGAACCGCCAGCTTTCTGGTTAGCAGTCAAGTGCCTTAGGCACTATGCTACCAGTGCTCCCTTATTAGCCATTAGGGAAATGCAAATCAAAACTACAGTGAGATACTATTCCAAAACCACTAAGAAGGATAAAAAAAAAAGACAGACTTGTGTTGACAAGGATGAGGAGAAACTGGAACGCTCATGCATTACTGGTGGGAATGTAAAAGGGGCAGCCACTTTGGAAAACTTTGGCAGTTTCTCAAAATGCTGAACACAGCTACCAAATGACCCAGCAATTCTACTCCTACACAGGTATATTCCATGAGAATTGAAAATAAATAGCCCTACAAGAGAATGTCCACTGCAGCATTATTCATCATCATTAAAAAGTGGAAACCACCCAAATGTCCATCAATTGATGGATGAGTAGATAAATGCTATGTGGTCTATCCATACAAGGAAGTATTATTTAGCCATAAAAAGGAATGAAGTACTGATGCATTCTACAACTAGGATGAACCGTGAAAACATGATGCTTTGTGAAAGAAGTCAGACCCACAGGCCATATGTTGTGACACATGTAAATGAGAAGTTCAGAACAGGCAACTCCACAGAGGCAAAAGGTAGATTACTGACTGTTTATGACTTGGGTGATGGGGAGGATGGGGACTAACAGCTAACGGATGTGGGGTTTCCTTTAGGGTAATGAAAATGTTCTAAAACTGAATAGTGGTGATGGCTGTATGACCTTGTGATTTACTAAAAGCCCCTGGATTGTAGACTTTAAAAGGGCAAATTTTTATTTAGTACATGAATTATATGTCAATAAAGCTGCTACATTAAAAAGTCACATAATTTTTAACAAGCAGGAATAAACAAATACTAGAACACTAAATTTGTGATTTCTAAGTCTCAAGATGAGACTACATTAAAAACAAAAAAAGGAAATTAGCTTAAAGAAAAAGGCTTAGGTAATAGGACAGGTGATGATCTAAAGGCAAAAATCATGTAGTTGCACAAAAATCTCTAAAATTGGAAAATAACAGAATATTGTATGTTAAGGAGGGACTCCTACTCTCAGTTCCTCCTTTGGTTGTATCATTAGTTTGTTTTTCACAGAAGTTTGCTATTTCTAGTTGGCTTCATACACTTCAAGGTAAACCCTGAAGAGAATGAGTATTTCTAATAATAGATAAACCAGAAACAACCCAAACTCACACTGCATCAGTCGTAGCCGACTGATAGCGACCCCTCCTTGGGTTTACAAGGCAGTATCACTACGGAAGTAGATTGCCCAATCTTCATTCTGAGGAGGGGCTGGTAGGTTTGAACCGCCAACCTTCTGGTTAGCAGTCAAATGCCTTAGGCACTATGCTACCAGAGTTCCTATGATAATAGATTCTCAATTATTTTTGACTAAAAGTCAAAGTTTGAAGGAGGCAAGAGGTCATAACTGCTGCTTATCTGAGTAGCAGCATAAAGGAAACAGGGCCTCACACCCTGATATCAGTACGCATGCATATAACACACACACACACTTTACCTTCAATGCGCCTCTTCTTGGAGCGGGGGTAGCCCTGAGGGCTGGTCTCAGCAGTGCTCTCTAGAGGGCTGAGGGAGTGGCAGTAAGTGGTGACTGGACCCCAGGGATGGCCAGGTACTTGGGGGACACGCTGCAGACGCTTTTCCAGGTAGGACAGGCTAAGGGAGGGGTGGGATGAAGAGGCTGAAGTGGCCACAGGGCCCTCACCACCCCTTCTTCCCTATCCACCAGTGGCACTAACTTACAGTAGCTGCTTGTCTTGATGGAAGAGTCTAGGAGAAAATTCTGAAAGGAGCTCCAAGAAGGCCAGGTTTGGGGGCTGACTGGAGGAATCAGCTGGAGGAAGCTCAGACAAGGAGAACTTGATGCCTTCCCTTGGTTGGACAGAATTATTTTAGGAAGACAGTCCCTTCCTGGTTCCATCCTGGGGACTGGGACTCCTGTCCATGTACCTCCTCCCTCAAGGTGGTCTATCAGAGCAGAGCCACCCACTGACCTATCTACTTGACATGTTTATTATCCTCCCACCAAGACCTCATTCCCAGCTCTCCCCCTCCACAGCCTCTGGCTCACCCTCTTAGGACTATCCAAGTACCTTGACTTCCAACCAATACTTCCTTACTTGTGTAGCATGACCACAAGATCACGGTTCTGTAGCTGCTGGGGTCCAAAGCTCAAGGCAAACCTCCGGGCCAGGTCCCTCATCTCAATGAAGGCTGGAAGCTCATTCAGGCCTTCGGGCCCCTGTTCCTGCAGCAGCTCTGTGTACAGCTGTGTCCAGGAGACACGGTCCATTTGCGAAAGGGAGAAACAAGATGGAAACAGAGAAGCACAGCATTCCCTTCTCTGCCCAGAAATGCAAAAAGGCCACCTACTGCTTTTACTTCTTCCCTCCCAAGATACCGTCTTATCCCTGAACCCCTACATCAGAGTGCGTCTTTGCTCCTTGCGGTGTAGTAAATTATTTAGTGTGGCTTTTCTACCCATAAGTCTTTGTAAACTCCAAGGTGGGATTTTCTATGAGCAAATGAGGAGCTCCTGATTGCTGAAGGTGTCCACCTGGAGTGTTTCTGTTGGGCATGGCACAAAACAATGTTCTGGGAGGTACCCACTCTCTCTCAGGTGCTTAGAGTTCTGATGCTATGATTAGCTAGTTTGACCACCCTGCCGGGCTCAAAAGGAGGCCTCCTAGAGGCAGAACTCTCTCTGACTGCTGGTGGAGGAAGACGTGCTGCCGAAAGAGACACGCGTTCCTGAAGGAGACATGTGCTGTTGGGAAAGAGACGCAAGAGACACGCATAGCTGAGTGAGACACCGAGGGACCAGTACTGCTGGGAAAGAGACTGTGAGAGACTGTTGGCTGAGAGACGGTGGGCTGGAGAGAGAGACTGAGCATTTTTCCTTAACTCAAATTGTAGCTTGGTGCTTCCCTAATAAACCTCATAATCTGTGAGTTCTGTGTGGCCACTGCAGCGAATTATCGAACCCAGGAGAGAGGTGGTGGGTGCTTTGGGAGGAACGGTTGGAGAAAGGGCTGGAGGGAGGCAGCATGTCTGGCCTTGTAGGAATAGGCCTTGGGTTACTGCTGGTAACCCTGTTTTCCCCTTGTGGGATTAGAGGAGGTCAGAACATGTGGCCTCCTTGCCGTTTTTGCACTCCTCCAATAATAAAAATAGCTTCAGCAATTGTGATAGAGGCTGATAGAAAACAGACTGAATAAAAATCCCTAGCACTTTTTTTGTTGAGGAGTTCTGGTGGCATAGTGGTTAAGGCATTTGCCTGCTAAACAAGAGTTCAGCACTTCAAACCCACCAGCTGCTCAGTGGGAGAAAGATGGGACAGTCTACTTTTGTAAAGATTTACAGCCTTGGATACCCAATGGGGGTTGCTATGAGTCAGAATCCCCTAGAAGGCAGTGAGCTATCACTATTTTGTTGGTGATATCATGTTCAACTGGTATTGAAACTTCTACAGAGCTGGGGTAGATACTGCTCAGCCAATTAAAAAATACTTTATACGATTAAAAAAAAATACTTTATACGATTAAAAAAAAATACTTTCTAAGGGTCTCCTAGGTATGAGGGAACCTGTCATACACAGTAAAAGATAAAAAATAAACTTGAAAGATCCTGCTCTTAAGGTTGAGGGTGGGTAGGAAAGCTTGTGGATTACAGGGAGGGCCTGTCACAGGCCTGAGGGCCTCTGGGCCGGAGGAGTACCTGCTTGAGGCTCAGCAACAGAATTTGAGAACAATGGCTTCGGTCAATCTGCCTCGCTCTCGTTAATGTTTCCTTGATGATGTCGCCATAGTCGTTGTAGAACTGAGAGAGAGGAAGTAGAGACAGCAATGGGTGACCAAGGGAAAGGGCTGTTTCCATTCTGTTTCCTCCTTCACGTCCTTAAGGGAGCTTTGGCCGCATAGTGGGTAGGCATTTGGCTGCTAACTAAGTCGGTGGTTCAAACCCACCAACTGCTCTGTGGGAGGAAGATGAGGCAATCTACTTCTGTAAACATTCACAGCCTTGGAAACCCAATGGGGGTCACTGTGAGTCGGAATCTATTTGATGGCAGTGGGTTTGGTTCTTTGGTTTGGTCACGTTCCTAACATGTCTCCTTCTAATGTACTGTGGGTAGGGGAAATGAATTCAAGCATAAAATAACCTGACTAGAGCTCATCTCCAGCTCACAGATGCACAGCCCAAATAAATTTAGACAAATAAATAAGAAACTGTGCCCTGAGCCCATCTTTGGAGAAGATGAGTAGTGAACCTGCTGGTTCCCCTCTGATCCAGCACTGAAGTATCCCCTAATTTGCCTCTCTGTCCCCACCAGAACAAAAGCCCCATGAAGGCAGGAGTTTTTGTCTGTTTTGTTCACTGCTGTGTCCTTAGGGTCTAGAATGATGTTTAGCACACAGTAGGTGCTCAGTGAACAGAAATTAATGCAATAGTGGGCTGAGAAACCAAGGTACACACACATCTAGGCATCTTGGAAGGCCTGATCCCTCTTCTGGTTTTCTGTTTCTTTCTTACATTAGTCCATTGCATAGACTGGAATGAGAAAAAATCAAGATCTCTGGCTAGGAAGAATAAGACACTTCTCCTCCAAAGAACTTCTTCCTCTTATTTAACGGCTTTCTCTCTATCATTATTTACTACTAAGTCTCTTCTCTTTGTCCCTTCATTCTAAACTCCTAATGCTGTTTCCCTAAAGCATTATGACTGCTAACCAAAAGGTCAGTGGTCTAAACCCACTAGCCACTCTCTGCAGGAGAAAGATGAGGCAGTTTACTTCTTCTGTCCACTGGAAACCCTATGGGGCAGTTTTACTCTGCCCTAAAGGGTAGCTATGTGTTGGAATCAACTTGATGACAATGGGTTTGGTTTTGGTTTTGTCCTTTAAACCTCATATCCCACCCTCCTTTCTGTAGTGCTGTAGTGTTTGAAGCCTTGGCGTGGCCCCTTCTCCTGTATTTCTACAGGCCCCCACTGTACCTTGTTGTAGTGTTTGAACACATCAGAGGCTGCCTCCATGTCCAGCACCCCATAGAGCAGCAGCTTGCAGAACCCAGCCAGGAGGCGGCGCCGCTGGTGGAGCTGCTCTATCTGTAAGTGATCCTCCTGGGAGTTACCTGACCCTGAACCGCCAAATGCAGAAATGAAAGATTAGAAACACAGACTGACGCCTCTTGCCCCATATTCCTGAGCCAGGCCCAAGCCCCAACCCTTCCTGAGACCCAGACCCAGAGCCCCTGCACTACTGCCCAGGTCTCCAGGCTGGATGAAGACATGGTCCATGAGGAAGCTGGCCAGCTCAGACTGGAGAGTGACCTCAGGAACAAAAACGAGGGGTCTAAGGAAATCGCATCCTCCTACAGTCATCTGAGGGCTGAAGATGAGAAGTAGGTCACTTAATAAGGTAAAAGCCTGTTGGAGAAGAGGGAAAAATAAAAAGAATGTTTACCAAGACAAATTAAATAACTAATTTCTCTTTGGAATGGGGTCTCCTCAGACCACGAGAGGGATCAGGCCCTGCTCTCACTTGAGTCAACTCTCACCTGCTCCTGGATCTCAGAGTCCACATCTGAGAGGCAGCTCTGGCAGACTTCACAGAAGGCCACCATTCTGCCCTTCAAATTCAACAGCTGCTTCTGTGGAGATAGTGGATACAAGGAGAGATGAACAGAGCCTCATTTCTTTTCCCCTTCCCTGCTCAGATCCATACCCACCTCAGAAACATCAGATCCAGAAATGTGGGTCAGCAACCAGAGGATGGAAAAATAGACAAGACTCAAGGCTGGAAGGATCACCTATAACAACCAAGAGAGAAAAAAGAAAAACGATGGGTGAACCAGGAGAGACAGGGGAAGGGAGAAAGAGGGGAAGACAAGCAGGCAGATACACAGAAGCAGTGACAAGAGAACCAACGAGATTACAGACCCGACCCCTTTTCTGCTGGGAAGAACTGAGAGCTCTGACATTCTTCAGAGGCTTCTATGGTGGCTGGAAACGCTACCTCTCCCTAAATTTATTCACATTCCCCAAAATCCTTCAACTGCATCCTTGACTCCCAGAAAACCAGAGAGAATGGCTGTTTTCAGGAACTGGGAAGTCTAGTCCACCTTCCAAGAGTGGGACAGTAAGACTGGCAGCTCCTAATCCTCCTCCCTTGTCCTCATGCCTGGGAGTGGAAGCTCCTAGAAGAGGGGGCCACCTAGCACAGGGTCCTTTGAAACTCCTCTTTTTGCCTCCATGACTCCAACTTGTCTACTTGCCTGGCGAGGCACCTCTCCTGTATCCACAGCCTTCCGCAGGAGTTGGTAGCACGGCTCATAGAGCTCCCAGCGAGTCAGGTCATGGGCACTTGGGGGCAGGGGTGGGAGTAGGGGGGGAGGTAAATGTTAAATGGAAGATAACGTGAGGAACCAACTCCCCAGGCTGCCAGTACAAGTATTAGAGGAAGATGGAAGAAGCGTTGCTCACTTGTAAAAGGCAGAGAGGCGCTTTAGTGTGGCCGCCAGACTATATACCTCATCCTCATCTAGGAAGGAAGACTGCAAAAGGAAGAAGGCCCACAAGAGGATTTTTCCAAGAGCCCATAGATCCATATTCCCCTTCATGTGGTTCTTCTCCCCTTTAGTTTGGGGTGCCCCATCATTCAGCCCCAGCTGCTACCTGCAGTAGCTCTTCTAGCTCCTGCTGGAAGCGGTCGGTCAGTAGATCCACCAGTTGGCTGCGGGCAAAGTCCACCCGGCTGAAGAACGTGAACTCAGGCTTACAGAGCTGATAGAGGGCGTGAGCTCCGGCCTCAAGCACCGCTGGCTCAGCATGCTTCACCACCACCTCCTGGAGTTGCTCCAAGAGCAGCTCCAGGTGCTAGAGACAGAAACAGGAAGAGGATAGCGTTGCAGGGGCTGGGGAGGACAAGCCTTCTGGAGGGGAAGACAGAAAGAGAGAGATAAGAAACAGGGTTGAAAGCATTACACTTTAAGGGTAAGATGCCTAAGAAGGGAAGAGCTTACTGATTTTCTGGAACCCAGGCTCCTAAGAACCAGACAGAAGCCTGGGCTGATCAGGGGAGCAGCAAGGTATAGGAAATACGGTCTCGTCCCTGTTCACCTTCTCCAGGCGCCTGGTGCAGTAGATGTTGAGGTCAAAGTAGCTGAGAAGCTGCAGCAGAGGGGCCACCTTCTCGGCATCAGCTGAGAACTGTGGTGAGTGGAAAAGGAAATATGCTTATTGACTCTTGTGTTGCCGACTTCTACTCCTATTTCTCATCAAGACCTTTCCTTTCACTCGCTGGTACTGGGGCTGGGGGGTGAGTCTACCTTGGCCAGGAGCTGGGGCAGCAGCGGGATGAGGTGCTCAGTCAGCTTCACCTTGTCATCAGCTTGGATCTTACGTTCTTTAGAGGTTAAGCCCTGGAATTAGAGTGATGTTAGGGTGCATATATGTATCACTCCTCCCCACAATGTCATCTGCCCAGGAAGGAAAAGAGTATTCAGAAGCTCCCTGCAGAGTCTGTCCCCAGAAATGGAATTCTTTGAAGGGCAAAAGAAGGGACATTACATTCTAACCCAAGAGCTGAGGACAAAGATGGGCAGCACCTCCTGGATTTCATATTGCTAACCCATTCAGCATACCCCTCATGCCATACCTTCTTCCCAGTGATCCGCCCCACAGGTGGGTGGCCTTCTGAAGCTTGCCGGACACTGGACACAAGGATTTCTATCAGTGTGCTCTCCTGCACATCGCCCAGGTCTGGGTTGCGGGAGGGTCAGAAAAAGAGAATCACAAGTCAGCCACCCTCCATTTCCAAGCTCGCCCCATCTCCACGGCACCTGTGCTGCCTCTTAACCAATCAAGAAAGAAATATCCTGGTTGGCTACTAGGAGGCAAAGGTTCCCTGTGCCCAGGTACCACGTGGCACGCACTGTGATCCTTCTCCAGCAGCAGGCTTGTCAGACTGTCCCAGTCCTTCAGCTGAGACCCCGCACAGTCCCACAGGCTGTCTACTAAGTAAGCAGCATGGTTATGGAGCTGTGGAAGAGAGCACACATTAAATTACTGAAGACACATTCAACAACTCCTCTATAGTGTCACCCCCATCCTCCTCTACCTGATGGTCTCACGTACAACACCCAGACAACTCCTTCCCCCAGCTCACCTCGCTCTCCACAAAGAAGGTCAGCAGGAGGTGAAAGAAAGTCCTTTGGGAGCGTGGGCTTTGGTGTCGTTCTCTTCCACTGCCCGTTCTTGTCTCACACTCAGGGTAGAAGAGCCTGGTGGAATTGATACAGGGAAAGGATAAACATGGGAGGAAAGGAAGACTGGAATGATCAGCAGGGAGGGAAGAAATGGCCTATGGAGAAGTATAAAGGAAAAAGAGGTACAGAGCTAACAAAAGCCCCAAGGAACTGAGAGAGGACAGGAGACACCGAGTAAGATGTTAGTAACAGGTATGAGCAGCACTTCGAAGAGGAGCAGCAGATGATGGAGAGAACTATGAGGGTGGGGTTAGAGGAACGGAAGAAGAAGACCCCCACTCACTTCCAGTAGAGAAACTCTCCTGCAGCAGAGGCCAGGGCTCGGTTGGAGGCGTATACAACAGGGTAGACGCTTTCACAGTCTGTGTCTGTCAGCACCCCCTCCATGTTCCTGCCAAGAGAAAAGGAGAAAGGGGTGTGTGGACATGGATGACCATATTCTAGCACAGCTAATGGCAGAAACAAAAATGACAAAGGTATAACTCACAAAAAGGTTTGAAATGAGTGGAAGACAGAAAAAATGGAGAATTAGAGAAGATACGAAATCTTGTAACTCAGGAAAGGCCTCTATCTTTCAAGCTGTATATAAAAAGAGCCAACCTACGATAGGTGCAGGGACACAACTTTAGAAGGGCCTGCTTGATGCTGGAAAGGTGAAGGCCCATGACACTGGCCTCCCACTCCCCAGGACTCACTGCAGGATGAGCGTTAGCAGTCTGACGGCCTCCACTGCCACGTCATAATCTCTGTCCATAACCATGGAAACCATCCGATCCTGTGGGAAGGGGAACATCACTCAATGTCTCATTTTGCCCATTCCAAAACATCATGTCCTCTTAGAATTTCAGAGATTCCTATCAAGAGTGTAGAAGCAGTGTTGGGACTGCTATAGCTATAAGACAGCAGCAGAAGTGGACAGATACAGGGTGGGGAAAAGAGAGCCACAAGAGATAAGCAAAGGAGTGCCATCCCAACTTCACCTTGAAGCGGCTGGTGAAGAGCTCCAGGCGTGCAGTCAAGTCCCGGTTGCTGTACAGCCCTTCCAGAGCCTTCAGGCACTTCAGACGGACGTCTCGATGCTAGTGAGGAGTTGAACAAAAGGATGGCAGAGTGACTGACCATTCCTCTCCTCACCCCCACTAGGCCTCCACACTCTCCTCCTAGACTGCTCATTCCGGGTCTGGGCCTGTCTGTCCTCTGAACTGAGGACTCTGACAAGTCTCAGAGACAGTAAACAACAGCTACTAATTTAAAAATAAAAAACTGATCACAGTAGAATTTAGCAATCACACTGCAAAAACCGTTTAGCTACCACCCCAGTGCTCGTATTACCATCTGTCTCTAACTTGTTGTTTCTCAAAACACCTTTCTCCTCTCGACCTCAGCTTGTGAAGCATTCTACCTCCTGGACACGCCTTTCTCCTCTCGACCTCAGCTTGCGAAGCATTCTACCTCTTGGACGTCTTTCT